CAACATCAATCTTAATCTTATTATCATTTTCATTATTATTAGTGTCATTGTCGTGATTGTGATGATCTTCTGCTTGTTCAGCATTCCCACTATAATTGCTATTATGATAATAACTATCAATATAGTTGCCTTTAGAATGACGATTGTCAATAGTATTATTATCATCGGTATAGTAGTCACATAAATTAAGAACTATAGTTTGAGAGGAGTTTTGAGATGATTCATAATGACTTTCGTCTATTGATAGATGATTATTATTTGCCTTGTTACTAGGTGATGTCTCTGATGAAGAGTTTAAAGATTTTATTGTTACAAATGATTTTGTTTGTGTTGGTTTCAAGAATTTTGTTGAAGTTGACAATGATGGGTAGGAAAGTGGAGAAGACGAGAAAGTTTCAGATTTTGATCTTTTATTATCATCATACAGGACACGTGCCCTTGGAGCATAGGCTGTTGGCAATCTTGTAATTTCATTCATTACACTTTCGTTATTAATATTAATTGGTTGTTGTAAATGTTTTTTATTTCGAATCTTTTCTTCTTTTTCTTTTTCGATATTTTGATGATTTAATAGTTTTGATTGTTGAGAAATATTACTATTGTCGTTGTTATTGTTGTTAGCGCGAATATTATTTTTGGTGGGAAAAAGATTATTGTTGGGAAGAACATTATTATCGTTCTTTGCGGTCTTGCTGCGGGGATTTTTTGATATTGAAGATATTGAACTATTATAACCCTGATAATTTTTATTTTTATAATTAGTACCATCATCCTTATTTTTTATATTCTTTTTATTTGTTTTACCATTGCCATTACCGTTGCCACTTTTGATATTGTTGTTGCCACTTTTGATATTGTTGTTGCCACTTTTGATATTGTTGTTGCCATTTTTGATATTGTTGTTGTTATTTTTGATATTGTTGTTATTATTTTTGCCGTTAATTTTGTTATTTTTGATATTCTTGCCGTTAATTTTTTTATTGTAGTTATTTTTAAATTTAGCAAAAAAATTTTTAAAATTAAGATGATATTTTTTACGATAAATAATCGCCCCAATACCAACTAATAATGATAAAACTATTATTAATCCAATAACTAGAGCAAAAGATGAAACGCTATTGGTATTTTGTATTGTGCTCGACATCTTACTATTTAGTTATTTAATTAATTATTTAATTATTTAAAAAATTATTATTTATTAATACTAAGATATTTATTGGAAGTGTGTTTAAAGGAGATGATTAAATTTAAAGAGTGTATGGTCTGTTGATTTTTATTCTAATGAGGAAGTAAGTCATTATTATGTGAAACGAAGAAGAAAAAAGGAAAAGAAAAACAGAGAGATTCTATATTAATAATTCATTATATTTGTGCAAAAAATAACAACAAGATTTTGTTATTGTTTTATTTTCTCTATTTTCCTTTCTTCTTTTTTCTTCCTCTAAATTTAAATAAATTAGCGAGAAAAAAAAAACAGAAATGAATAAAACAAAAATTTCAAAAATTTCAATTTTTATATGAATTAATTAATTAATATGCGGTGAATGAAAAATAT